GGATGGTGGGTGCCTGGAGCACACCACCAGGGGAGGTGGTGGAAGCAGACACGTAAGCAACGTTTAAGGCTTCTCTTGATTGACACGAACAGGAAGTAAACAGAAGGATAGAAACCATGCATGGGCAATAAAGTAGCAGGTTTAGAAAGGATCAGGAATCAGCACAGGCTTGGTGGGCCGAAGGGTCTGTTACTGTGCTGTAGTGTATTCAAACAGTTCTTCCAGTGACAACTGAAGTTACCAAATGGAGACAGTAAATTTTTCACCAAACTCAAGTTATAACAGTTATTTATTAAAACATTCTTAATGGGCTGTAAAAACTCTCTTTATTTTTTCTATATTTTCAAATGTGGAATGAAATGGGATAAAGACTGCTTGAAAACCAAGAATTGCAGAAAGAACTTAAGAGCAAGTTACTGAAACTTTAAGTCACGTTGACACTTTTGCTTTGTCTATCCAGTCAGGTGGCTGTTTATACATGTACCAGCATCAAGAGGTGACTTCAGTGAGATCCAGCAGGCAACAAGTAGTCAATTGGTTTGTGGAGCGGTGACCAGTTGTAGATAACAAGGGCCATCAGCCCAACAATAACTATTTGATTAACTCCTGGGTAACCGAATAGCTTATTGGTGAGAACGATACTGGCGAAGTTTTCAGGCTTCCAGAAGAGGAGATAGTGTGTCTTTCTCTTCAAGAAAATACCTAAAGCCTGAAGAAAGCCAGTTTATTTTCTCTCACCATTTGCTATAGGCTGTGGCTTTTAAATAGTAACTAAGAAATTTTGCAGTTAATGTACTAGTCGCCTGCAAACTGAACAAGAACCTGGAGAAAAGAGACTGAACAAGTGTTGGCAAGTAAAAGGGTCATCTCAACGTACCCTGTGGACTAAGGCCTTCGAACTATTTTCGTAGTTTTTTTTCCCCCTCCCCTACAATTTTTTTTGGTCTGTCTGCATGTGTGTGCAGGGGAATTTTACCTAGTAGAGTTACATGTTAACAGTTTCGATTGTTGTTTACCTCTGGTTAGAATCTATTTAGTTATAATAAAGTCGGTCATTCTTTTTATGTACAGTAACTCGGTCCATGTTTTCTATTAACCTAAGTCTAAAAAGACAAGTAAACTGGGGAATATTACATACTTAGATAGAATCTTTAACTTCTGTGACAGACTCTGGGTATGGCAGGACTTGATTCCCAGCATGCTACTCCAGTGAGGTATGACAGTGTCAACAAATGTGACTTGACAAGGGGTTAACACACACACAAGGGGTTGACATACACACACACAAGTTTTATTTTTGACTGAAGAAAATCCTTTTCCTTTCCTGCTGACTGAATACAACCACATTCATTAACTCACCTAAATGTCAAATACCTGTACTCTTTTAAACGAGAAGTAAATGGAAAGCAAAGCTGCCTCGACACCAACCCGTCAAACAGGGACAGCATACCAGTAAATACAGAGTAAAGCTCACTCTAATCACTAAACTAGAAGTAAAATGAAAATAACGCTCCTTCAACACCATCCCTAAACACTCCTTGGACAGGGACAAGGGGTTAAAATGCAAACTGAGGGTCTCTCAATCCTTTCACAATATCCAAAACAATAACAGTGAAACAGGCCCTGCTGAGGCACTGTATCGAAATCAAACACAAACGTAATAGTCAAATAGAAACTTACAGAATGAAACTGAAAATGACTTAGGTATGTCATATAGGCCGATGTTCTACCCACCCCATGCAGTGCCCACCAGCCTCGAAAGGCCTTGACTGCGCCGGCGAGCCCTGTATGCTCCCTCTCTAGGAACACATGAGCATGGACCTAACCGTGAAAACAGGGGCAGCTAGGCAAAAATGCTGAACCACTCCACAGCCCACTGCTTGGACCTGTTGATGGCCACCTTGGCCAGGCCTAGAAGCAGACCCACAAAAAGGCCCTTGGACTTCTCCACTCCTCCTACACCGGGTGTCATAGATCAGGAGCATGGAACAGCAACCAAAGGTTAAGAACAGCCCCTTCAAAAAAACTGAAAAACGGGCTGTAAATGGAAACCTTCTACATAGACTTAAAGACTGTTTCCTCTAGGCCACAAAAACTACATTGTTATTTCACCGGTGGCAGATCAAACTATGATTTCACAGGACCACTGCAAAAATCAACCTCCATCCCAATCCCCAGGGCTCTCCACTGGGGGTTCTCCACCACCACAGGGAAAAAAGACATGACCAGGCATGTCCAAGCAGTGGGTAAAGGTGGAAAGTGGAGTCCTTTCAAGAAACACCTCCGTGCCATTCAAAAGGACTACCTAGAAGGCTCAGATTGTGGGGTGCTATGTTATGGGGGAGGGCCTGTCCTGCAGGGCCAATGTCAAGATTCAGACAGACAAGGGTCAGTTCATCCAGAGGTCCACTGCACACCCAAGTCATTTCAATTTCACGTGTGGCACCGGCACAGAGAACCTTATCCCTCAGTAGCTCGGGTCGCAAACCAGATGATGAGTGACACCTTCTCAGCCGCCTACGCCAGTGTCATCCAGTCCACTCTTCTGCCATCCAACACATCCCCCACTCTGGTCAGCTCAGCATCCCAAATCTTCCACTCCTTCAGCTTGGACCTCAAAGTGTAATCAAGCATACTACCACTAAAGTGTTTTTTTTTTCATTTTATGTCATCTATTTCACTAGTCAAAGAGTCAGAGGTATACAGCACCAAAAAGACTTTTGGTCCAACTCATCTATGCCGACCAGAAATCCTAAACCAATCTAGACCATGTGCCAGCATTTGGCCTATATCCCTCTAACCCCTTGCTATTCATATACCCATTCGTATGCCTTTTAAATGTTGCAATTGTACTAGCCTCCACCACTTATTCTGGTACCTCATTCCATACAGGCACCACCCGTAGGTCCCTTTTAAATCCTTTCCCCATCACCTTAAACTTATGCCCTCTAATTTTGGACTCCTCCAGCCCAGGGCAAAGACCTTGTCTGTTCACCCTATCCATGCCCTTCATGATTTTATAAACCTCTCTAAGGACACCCCTGCCTCCAACTTGGAGGGAAAACAGCCCCAGTCCATTCAGCCTCTCCCTACAGTTCAAACCCTCCAATCCTGGCAACATCCTTGTAAATCTTTTCTGAACCCTTTCAAGTTTCACAATATCCTTCCTATAGTAGGGAGACCAGATCTGCATGCAGTATTCCAATAGTGGCCTAACATGACCTCCCAACTCCTATACTCAATGGACTGACAAATAAAGGCAAGCATACCAAACGCCTTCTTCACTATCCGGTCTACCTGCAACTCCATTTTCAAGGAACTATGAACACGCACTCCAAGGCCTCTTTGTTCAGCTACACTCCCCAGGACCTTACCATTAAGTGTTTAAGTCCTGCCCTGATCTGCCTTTCCAAAATGCAGCACCTCATATTTACCTAAATTAAACTTTATCTGCCACTCCGAAGCCCATCGGTCCCGTGTTCCCAGGTAACCTTCTTCTCTGTCCACTTTACCTCCAAACTTACTAACCATACCTCTTATGTGCATATCCAAATCATTTATATAAATGACAAAAAGCAGTAAACTCAACACTGATCCTTGTGGCACACCACTGGTTGCAGGCCTCCAATCTGAATATCAACCCACCCTCTGTTTTCTACCTTCCAGCCAGTTCTATAACCAAATAGCTAGTTCTCCCTTTAACCTGTGTGATCTAACCTTGTAACCAGTGTACCATGAGGAACCTTGTCGAACACCTTACCGAAGTACATATAGATCATGTCCACCGCTCTGTCCTGTCCACCGCCAAATCCAGCGCCACCTCCTCTGTAATATGGACATTGTTCAAGATGTCGCTATTTATTTCCCCAAGCTCTCTAGCTTCCACATCCTTCTCCACAATAGACACTGATGCAAAGTACTCATTTGTTATCTTCTCCATCTCCTGCGGTTCCACAGTTCCTGCGGCCTTGCTGATTTACAAAGGGCCCTATTCTGTCCCCAGTTACCCTTTCGTCCTTAATACATTTGTAGAATCCCTCTGGATTCTCCTCAACCCTATTTGACAAATCTATCTCATGACCCCTTTTTGCCCTCCTGATTTCCCTTTTAAAGAGCATTTATTATTTTTGGCACTTTTGCTCAAGTGAATTTTTTTGGTGCAGCCTTTGGAATGTTTGCTTTCTATTGCAAATAGCATTGTTATAGCAAAGTACTTGCAGCTTTTCTATCCTAGGCACCAACTGACGCTTAGATATATTGACCTTAAATGTGTCAGGTAATATTCAACATTTCCTGATTATATCAACTGTAAATTGATTCTCACAGAAATTGTTGACTGGAACTGGAATAACGTTTCTCATTTTAACTTGTAATTTTGTATCTATGTTGTCTTATTTCTGTTTTGGCTGTTCAGCACTTCTAGGATCTTCAGCTTTTGATGGCCAAAATGTGAACTGTTCCTCCACTTTCATGATGTTACATGTAAGTAAAATACTTGGGTCCCTGTGGAGCTTGTTAAATTGAAAAAGGATTGGAAAGATAAGAGTGCTACGTTGGATGTCACGTTTACTGATTTAGTTATCTATTTATTTATTCCAGCATCTTTAATTTAGTGGAGACTTGAATAAGGAACAGGTCATGGAGGCAGACTGAGCAGAAATAAGTTTGAGGTGTTATGATCTTCAAAGGGTGAAGGCTAATTCATGACCTCTAAATGCAACTTGTTGTTACATAACATTTATACAAGGTACAGTTGGTAAATAAACATTAATTAATGTTTGACAGTGTTTTTGAGAATACAGCATAATCCTGAGTGCCAGCCAATATATTTTCTTTCCATTGTGCAGACTATGGCCATGTGATTCCTTCAGACCTTTCAGACTAAGTCAGTGACTTTCCACTAAGCCAGTGTTTTATTATTTCCTAAAATAGGGAAAATTCTGAACATCTGACACCTCAGCTTGTGAAAGTTAAAATCACAATGGCAGATGTAAACGAACAACTTCTGACCTGATTTATTTCTGTAATTCTTGTGTAAAAAGATATGTTGGTGTGATAAAAGGACATGCCGGCTGACAGCAACGTTCCCCTCCTTGAGCCAGCAGACAACTGGAGAAGGACGTCCATGGAAAAGGTTGAGGTAGTCAAATTTCCCACATTTTATTATTAGTTACATATCCATTATCTGAGAAAAACAGAGTTAAACAGGATCATTAGGCTCTTGATACAACTGTGCTTCTACTCCTAAAACGTCGATCTACAAAATTTCTTTCCACATTTTGCAGTTTAGATAAAAAGTCTTAACATATTTCCATGTGTTTGAAACTAATAAGATTCCAATGATCAGAGTCAATAAATGCAAAACACAAAAAGGTACACAAAGTATGTTTTGGACCAGCATCAACCACAGCGAAAAATGTCACACCCAAGTCAGCTAAACTCTAATACCCCTTCTAATACTGTCAACTTCAGTAAAAGGCTCCCCACGTACTGTCAAATTTCAGTATCAGTCAGTGCTGCCAAATCTGGACCATCTTTTACTACTTAAAATCCAGAACCATCCTCCACAGATGCTGCTAGATAACATGGATTCCATTCCTGTTAAATACTGGTACAGTTACCTCCAATCAGAACATCTTCCATACCATTTTTTTGAGTGCATTCCCAGCTCCAAAACAAGAAATTTATACATGGTAAAGGAATACTTATGCAGCAATCTCGAGTAAAACATACATGCCCCGAATGCCACTATGTTCGTGTGATATTTATGCATACATGCATCATCACTGCTGCTGATTTTACAGAAAAACAAACAGCTGTGGAACTGAATCCCCAAAATACCAGAATGTAATGGAGAATTTTGGTTTGTTAGCACAAGTACACCACATTTTAAATGACAAAACATCCTATAAAACTGGATGAATCACTGGAAGAATCAGTAGTCAATAAAGTTTATCTATTTTGTTCTGAATTGTTCCTCAACATGAATTGCATTGAATGCACAAGCATTTTAGCAAAACCTAAAGTGATTGGCACAATGGTATAGTAATAATTTAGGTTACTGCAACATGAAAATTGAAGAAAGAGGACAAAGACAGATTAGCATGACAGACAGACAAGTTGCAAATGCAAAAAGAAAATTTGAAATACTACATTTCAAAATTAGAGAAAAGCATTGTTTCAACTGGCACAATTTAAAATTGAGAGACTAACATGCAGGTGGTAGACTTGGGCAAGGTCAAACTAAAAGACAGAATCCTCTCACTTAAGAGATACAGAATACAGAAGCAAGAAGGCAACACTAAACCTATACATAATCCTCACTGAAGCATTGTGTAGAATATTGGCAATTTCATGATAAAAAACCATAAAAAAAGTGAACGAAAATCAAAAGGTGCAGCATAAATTCATTGGATGTTGTCAAGGCTTGAGTGTTTTTGCAAAGCACAGAATTGAAAAATTCAAATATTTTAAATGGAAAACCAGGGGAAGAAAACAGCTGATGAGACAAAGTTTTAGAGGGGAAATGGAAAAGCAGACAACAGAACATTTACAGACCAGGACCCATTTTGTGCACAAAATATACACTGGCTCACCTGCTCGATGGATATGCAGCACTGAATGGCAAAAGCTTAGCAATGTGGATCTACCCATCTATCACGCACAGGTCATGCTTGTTCAAGATAAATACCTGATCAGCATAAGACACCCCACCCCCTGAATACATATTGGGAAGATCTAAGCCTTAATCCTCAGTCCCCATGAAAATCCTTCATTCCCTAACCACCAGTATCCTTCTTTCTGCCAAGAACCCAAGTCTAAATTAGAATATTTATAACTGTGATGAAAGTCTTTGCACCAGGCATGAGATTGTGGCCACAATCTCAAGCATAAACTATCCACTTCCATCTCTGTAACAGTGCCCAACTCCACTCCAAATGCTAAATTAGCTGGGAATACCCTCAACTATACCTTTATTCACTAGAAACACTAGTTAGCTGTCACTTTTTCACCCTCCACAAACTTCTGGTTATTCAAAACACCAAAGTAGTGCCCTAACTCGCACCATGTCCCATTCACCTTTCATTCCTGTGCACATGACTTCCAGCTTAGCATCATCTTGATTTTAAATTCTCATCCTTGTTTTTGAAATTTCTCCATTTATTTTTACTTCACTTTGTGATCCAAGATATGAACTCTGCCAATTCTGTTCCCTTTAGCATCCACATTTTAAAACCACTGCACCAATGGTAACCTAGCCCGTGAATTCCTAGAATTCCTTACAGCACACTGATCTTCTTCTCTTTTCTCCTTTTAGGCACTCTTTAAAATCTCTCTCTTATTTGTCCTGAGATCAATGTTGTTCAGTGTCAAGATTTGAGATGAAGCTCCTGTGAAACAATTTAGGACTTTTTAAATCATCCTGTGGTTTGAACACCTCTCCACGACTGCACAGCTGTCTGACACCGCATAGTCATGGTGCCATTTTTTCTATTTAATAAGACTCTCAGAGTCACCAAGGACTTCTATTTCTATTCCTGCATAACTACCTATAGTCCCAAACCACCCTTCTTGGATTCTTGAAGATGAGCCTTAGAATCAAATCTCTTCAACCAAGCTTCTGATCAAATGTTCTTCTATGTAACATGGCAGGGAGTCATATTTTGTTTCATAATGCCTCGGGATACTGAATTAGTTTGAGGTCGCTATATAAATACAAGATGCTGCTGTCTTCAAAACTATGAAGCTATAATATCGGTGTTAGTATTTGATTATATCTCCTCTCAGAGTAGTCAGGCAAATTAAGACAATCAGGAAAGAATTTATGGATCTTACATATGAGATTGCCTGCAACTGACAGCTGCAAATTCTAGACATTCTCTGTGAAAAAAAGTTTCTTCATATACTTATTTAAGTACTTGTGGGGAAGGAAAAATATTTATTTTCCAAGAGAAAATTAAAAATCATCTACTTCACATATCTAGAGAAATCAGCTGCAATTCTACTGGAAGTAAAGATGCCTGCATCAAGAGCAACACTAGGCACACCTTAAAATTAGACACAAATCTATTGAAGTTTGTGGTACTGGTATGCTAAGCTTCAAATGTAGTAGGCTGCAATCTAAACATTAGAGAAAAGCTCAATAAACCCTACCACATCCAGTTGAAAATGATCGTGGACAATCAGGCAATGAAGGTGAGGAGGTAGCTCCATGAGCATCCCATCTTCTAGCATGGAGGAGACCTGCACACAAATGCGAGAGACAAGGCTGAAGTATTTGCATGGGTCTTCAACCCAAAATGCAGAGTGGATGATCTAATTCGACCTGGAGTTCGTACTATCACAGGTGCCAAGACTCAGTAAGATACGGTTAAGTACTCTGAACCTAGCAAATGCAATGGCTCTAACATGATTTTAGCTGCTGTGCTCAAGAATTGAGTACCAAAAGTAGCTGTCTACAAGCTAAATTATTCTGGTACAGCAATGATAGTGGCATCGATTCAACAACATTGAAAATTGCCTGAGCATGTTTTATCCACAAACACTGTGGGTTAAACTTGATAGAGATTATCTCAGCCATTGGTAAGCTGCTTTCTGAGGTTGTTATCCCCTGACATCAGGCTGGAACTAACTTGAGTGCCATTTTGGATGATCCAATGACTGCAATGGCTCTGTTCAGTTGATCACATCTTTAATGACAGGTTTGACTTTTGTGCAAATTTCAGGATTTTGATGCTGAAGGCAATTGGAAGGAAAAACAGTCAAGAGGGAAGTCCATTCTCAGTGAACACAAAGCACAGTCTCCCTGGTTAGTTGTTTAATGAAAGCAGTCGAATACTTGAAAAAAAAATTCTGAGCTAGATATGCAAATTCTTCAGTGTTTTTAAAAAAAGCATTGCGTGCTTGGCAAGTCTTAGGCCTTAAAGTCTGGAATTTCTCCTGACATCTCCCCATTTCACTTTCCTCTTTTAAAAGATTCCTTAACATCTTCCTCTGACACAAGGCTTTCAGTCAGTCTCCTAATATTCAGTTTCAAAGTCATCTTTCGACTGAAAACATTAACTCTGTTTCTCTCTCCACCTCCACTGCATGATCTGCTGAGTTTCTCCAACATCCTCATTTTTATTTTTACTTCTCATAGTTCCTTCTTTGGCTTGGTATCATTTTTTAGCTAATCATCCTTCCATGAAGCACTAGGCCTAATGTTAAAGGTTATAATAAATTAGAATCGATAAAGTTCTTGCTCCCCAAAAACAATGCTGAAATTTCTTCTCTAAAAAAAGGGAAAGCAAAACACAAAGTAGAAACAGAAAAAAAGCAAATAAGCATAAATTGTTCATAATATTTGTATGTTTTCAATTTACAAAAAGAGGGTCCTCACACAAGGAGATACCTCTCACTTTTATTTTGCTATTCACTGCTGAAACTGCCAAAACTTGCTGTGAGAAAAATGACACAGATTTCCTAAATCATGCAAACATACAGTGAGGTGCATGCATTATTTTTACACTATCACCATCTGATTCTTAATCAGCTTTAGCCAACCCTTCCAATGCGGGGTCTATAGGACTTTCATAGTTTCAAAACATCCATCATCGACATGACAAAAGTCAAAAGTGTGATGGAATACTTCCACTCGTTTGAAGTACACTTCCAACAACACCACACCCTGTGTACAATCTAAGGTAAAGCAGCATGCTTGAATGGCACCCCACCTTAAACATCCATGACCTCCATGACCAGTGCACAGCACTGTGGCCAAGATAAACTGTAACAAAGCACCATAGCTCCTTCATCAGCACCATCGACATGGACAGCAAAGATATGGGAATCACCATTCCCTCAGAGTTTCACATCAATCTGACTTGGAAATATATAACCATTCTTTCATGGTCACTGGATCAAATAGCACCAAGAGAGGACGTACATCACAGCGGCTGAAGTGGTTCAAGGCAGCTGGGTACTACCTTCTCAAAGGCAATAGGGGATGGGCTATAAATGCTGGTCTTACCAGCAACACTCACCCTGTGAGCGTAAATTAGAAGACACTTGTATGCTATTCTCTAAACATTTAGTTAATGTAGGATGTTAATATTTTACAGGTAACGTTTAGTTCTGGGAAGGTAATGCAATTCAAATGTTGAGCTTTGGCAAGTGCCAGAATAGCATACCTCAATAAAGGGGCAGCTCAGAAGATTACCCAAGTGTGTGTTGGTCGGGAGTCAAAACAGAAGAAATATCAGCTATAAAACAGCAGGCAGAATTTCTCTAGTTAATTAAGTCTAAGTGAGAAATTAGCTTAAATGCCTGTTTGAGGATAGCCCAGAGCAACTATGTTATCATGGAAATGGATATAACTTAGAAAGGCTCTCCAGCCTCAGTTTATTTGGGTATTTCCTGGGAGAGGTTTTTGACTGCAGTTTAGACCTTATATGGTTTGCAGATCACTAAGCTAGACAAAAGTATTAACAGCTAGACCTGTACCGTACGCAAATTAAAACAAACGTTACCATTTACCGCACAGATGGGTCAGACTTAATATCAGTTTGAATCTTATGAAGAAGGAAGATAATAAGTCAGCACAACATCGTGGGCTGAAGGGCCTGTACTGTAATAGCTTCAACTAAGGCAATGTACTGTAGGTGAATTATTGCTAAAGAAAGGAACCAGCAGATTTGCATGAAAGTACTAGAAAAGTAACCAGAACAAGAGACTGAAGTCTCCACGGTCAAGAGAAAGTAAGTTAAAATTCTATTTCTAAGAATGGTTGTAGTTGACAAAAATTCTCCACAGGACTGTGGCATACTGTCCGTACAGAACTATACTTATCATACAATCCCTACTGTGGAAGCAGGCTATTCGGTCTATTGAGTTCACAGACCACCTCCAAACAGCATCTTTCAAATAACTTCAAAATATATACTTCTCAAAAGAATGAGCTAAGAAAGTAAACTTGAGCATATACAGGTATAAGCTAGTGTCAACTTAATCATACGTGCTAATTTTTTTTGTTAAAAGGTGAAATCTTGTAGTGTAATTCTGTAGTTTAAAATGAGCTATTTGAATTTTTCAAAATGTTAGATGTTCCCTAAGTAGCTACCACAAAAGAGAAAATGAAAAGCTCTACAAACTTCTATCCCTTGTTTACAATTTATAATTCGAATTTGACAGCTTCAACCATCAAAAAATCGTACAAATAGAATTTCAGATTCCATCCATAACATGAAATAACCAACAATAGTTGAAATAAAAAAAAATTTACAGGGTCCATGCACAATCTGTACAGTAGCTTTCAAACACAAGAAGCGTTGTCCTCTGAACCCTTTGCCACTGCTACAGTCTTGTTTACGCCTACACATCCATTAACGTATGCAAAGTGATCACAGTCAATGACTAATCACATTGGCATTGTATTCTTAGTTGCCACGTATAGTGATAAATGAGAGAATAAACCAGTGTAACGGGTGTGCCATCTATCAGCTTTGCGGAGTGGGGGGTGTTTGTCTGGATAGCGTTGTTTTACTCCTAAATAATAACATATTTACGAAGGACTTTTGAACAACTTGGGACAAGGCTACTTTGACCCCTGAAAACCACAACAGGCCTAATGAGTTGCGTTAAAGGCGGCACATAAATAAACTCTCTGCTCTTTTCACCAAAGATGCAGACGAAATGCTGTAAACAAACCGGGTCAAGTGAGTAGGAGCCGTGCATGTGATGGAGGCCGGCGGTGAAGCTGTTGCTGTAGCAGCAGGCTCCGCCAGCGGCCTAGTCCGAGGAACTCAGACTGACAGGTAGCAAACTCGAAGAAAAACATACCGTCGATTTCAGCACTTCTTGACGGTTGGTGAGGCTTTCAAACACGTGTGTCACCTGTACATAGCCGGCGCTTCCTTCGGCATTGAAAATCTCAGATAGTGGCCTTATTCCCACCGTTTACGGAGAATATTCCGAACACGTCAACCATGCTACCAACCCCGTACCTCGGCCCGGAACGCTATCCGCCGCTGATTAAACACCAACCACACTCGGCTGCGAGGGCGGGACCGACACACAACTCAACCTGCTGCCGGAAAGCTAGCATGGATTGGCAGCACCAGTGCTGAATCAGATTGAGTCCTCCTGGGGAGTCTCATCACTGATTGGAGCATTGGGAAAACTAGTACCAATCAATGAGGAGCAGGAAAGGTCTTGCGCTGGCTTGTAGCAGGTTGCTGTGACCGGTGCTACCTTGCTGTGTCCCTGGCTCAAGTGTTTTGAATTGAGCTACTAGTGGACGTCTGCTTTGCTACCTTGTATTGTCCTGTTTACGTCTACAATATACTGTTGTTCTTTTCCTCCTCCAAAGAGTTCATTCTACTCCTAATGCTTTCTTTTCATGCATGTTTTAATTAGAGTTAATCATTGTATTACTTTGCTACTTAAGTTCTTTAATTGCTGTACAGGTAAACTATAGATACGATCTCTGGAAAATTTGCACTTGTTTGCTGACGTGTGAATTCTCGCTGAAACAGTTGCAGTCAATTCTGGATGTGAACCATCATTTTGTCACTGATGAAGGGTCTAGGCCCGAAACGTCAGCCTTCCTGCTCCAATGATGCTGCTTAGCCTGCTGTGTTCATCCAGCTCTACACCTTGTTATCTGCGAATCATCATTGTTCCTTTTTTGGCTGCAATTGATCAGAATTCTAAAAACGTTTCCACATATGGTCCGAGATGTAGCCAATCAATGTACACCATCTGTATAAAGTTTGAAGTATGATACTGCACTTCTTCTTTGGGAAGAGACATTTCTGATGGATTTCAGAAAGGAAGTGTGTGCCTGAAATCCTGATAGTTATTTAAGAAGGTGACATATTGTAAATGGGGAAATGTGGTGGATGTGGTGTACATTGACTTTTAGAAAACTTTTGATAAAGTGCAATGCTGAAAGCCAATGACAAACAGTTGAAAGATATAGACTTGGGGGTAGGCTGATTATATTCAAATAGGAGGCATAATAATTCTGAGGACCAGAGTCCCTTTGGTGCTAAAAGGCCTGTTAATCAGGCAGAGGACTGAGCAGGAAAGTGGCAGATAGAATGTTAATAAATGAGGTGTTCAGTTTTAAAGAAAGCCTTAGATTTATATATTAGCTTTAACAACTACCAGACATTTCAATGCATTTTACAATGAAGTACTTTTCAAATGTTGTAAAGTAGAAAACACAACGGCCAATTGTCCATAGCAGGCTCACAGAAACAGCAAAGTGATGACAAGCAACAAATAATTTTTGTAATGTTCATTGAAGGATTAACAATAGCCAGAACACCAACTGTCACAGATTTGTTTTTTTTTAAACAGCATTTTGTGTTCTTTTATATCCACCTGAAAGCATGGATGACTTCAACTTAACATCTCATCCAAAAAAACACCACTGGCAGTGAATCCCTCCTCAGTACTACACATGAGTGTTAGCCTTGATTTTTGAATGTGATTCAGAGATTAAAGTGACAGTACTGTGCCACAACTAATACAGCTTCAAGATATTATCCACTTAGTCTGACACTTTCAATTTAATTAGAAAAGCTAATGAAATATTGTTTTATGACAAGGTATAGAATATAAAATTTGCAATGTGATGGTAGACCACAATTGGAAATATTTTGTGTAGTTTTAGAATCTGCACTAAAAGAAGATGTTGAGGTGGGAGAAAAGGGTACAGGCAGATTCAGCAGGACTTTTCTCATGGCAAGACAAGTAAGTAAAAAAGATACAGATGTAGTGCAAGAAAGGCTTTTTTTTTCCAGAGGGTTGTGAAAATGTATTATACTAGATTCAAAGTGAGTGAAGCAGTTTCTATCATTTGGAATTTCTATGGAGGTTCTGACTTAATATTAGTGGAAAAGTATGAAATTCTGGAGAAATTACAGAAATAGCCAAAAAAAAAAACAAAGAACTGCAGATGCTGGAAATCAGAAACAGCTGAAGAAGAAGGGTCACTGGACCTGGAAGGTTAACTTTGCTTTCTGTCCACAGATGCTGCAAAAGATTTCTCAGCAATTTCTGTTGTTATGGAAATATTCGGTTTCTCAAGGTTTTCTGCTGATCTTCCACGGAACATATGTGGAGGGTTGGAAGAATCCTAACTGAATTTCTACCTCCATGTAACATTTGTGAATTAATTATTCGGTGGTTGGAGAAAAGGAAAATAAAGTGATGTGGAACCAGAACAGGCCTGTGGGATTTGGACTAGTGTGGAGGATAAACATCACTGTGATTTTGTAGGCCAGATGGTTTGTTTTCAAGGTGTATATGTAACTGACTTGCCTGATGCTGGACACTTTCTTTGAAAAAGCTGGGATCAATAAACAAAATGTCAAATATCAAGTAGTCTGATTGACTGGAAATATTTTGGCATTCAATGTGGGAATATATCAATCAATATCACAAAAGCAAATATGGAAATCCTATTATTTCAGACATCTATTCTCCGTTCGAAAGCCCAAGTTTTCTCCAAAGATAGCAATATAATTAAATGCATTTATTTGTATTTATGCTTGGGATATATTCTGTTCATATCAACCAGTACATTTAATTTTCATTAAAAAGTATTTGCATTGTTCCATTTTTGTAAAACAATGTTGTCTATTGTATAGATTAATATTTTTATGGTGTGATTCCAGGCAAAACACTTTTAGGTCAGATGATATTAGCCTTACTTTACATTTAAATGCAGTTTATTTCTTCCATGGTATCATCCCCCTACATCGTATGAATGGGATCAACTAATTAATGCAAGTGATAAGCAACACAGGAGACGGTCTTCTTATCAAAGTGCTGAAAAATTAACTCAGAACTTTATGCCAAAGTTGTGTTTTGTAAATATGTTACTTGTTTTAGATTTGAGTTTTAGTGCAATGATATTTCTATAAGAAAGCAAAATGAAGTACATCAGGAAGATAGTCACATATAAAGCAATGTTTGGCCTCTTTTAGACAATATTAAGACAGAAAATGCATATATTCTTTTAAAAACTATAGAAAACTCAGGAAACCATAGAACATCACTAATCACGATTGGCTTTTGAGATAAATATTGAATATTTTCTGTTATTAGGCACGATAAATTTCTCCAAAACTAAACAATAATAATTAGTCTTAATTAAATAAATTTTGTAACTCACTATTAACGTTGAAATGCCACTCATGATCGGGGGTACAATGCAAGGTAAAAAGGTAAAGACCTAGTATGGAACACCGTCAAGCTGGAAAGGGTACAGTATAATTAGATCAGTTGGGATGTAATAAGTTTGTGGCACTGAATATATATGTTTTGAAAACTAGGGATTATAAGTGGAAAGAAAAGTGTTAGCTGGAGACTATGTGCAATTAGTTTATATTTCAGCAGGGGAGAGAGGAGAGAGATATTAATGAAAATGGTCACCTTTCTGACAAACATTTCAAACAAAATATACTCTTGCCGTTATAGGATTGAGAGAGTGTGATGTTGCCAATAATCAAGTCTTTTAACAAAATATAGCTTTACATAGAGATAATTGTTCGTAAAAGGAAATTAAGGATGGAGTCTTGCCAGTCCTTGAATGATATAGGCTGTCATGAAAAATCTGAGAGAATCATATAAGAAGACCAGCAAGGTCTTCATGCAAATCAGGAGCAACAAGTTACATTTTCCAACAGCGTCCCAGACGTCGAGTCAAGATTCCTGCTATTGACGTGCAAGAGGCCTGACAACAGGCATTATCGCTCATTATCTTCTTCATTACCACTGAATCTCACTTCATTAACATGCAGATCACCTTCTTACCATGTACCAAACTAGGCATTGAGAATTTCCAACATGAAAGTCACAGCAGGCACCACTCCAGCTCCATCTTGCATATCCAACACAAACGCCTCAGGGAACACACCATGGCCGATCGCTGTAAGCACCCCATGTCCACTGATGCTTGCATCTGACACATGCCAGCCTCTCTACACCATTATGGTACATCTCTGATTCAAATATAGTATGCTTCTGCACTGCCATGCTGTGCTTTGGGGCACACGAAAACCTATCACCGGAATGCTGCTGCAATGGCACATTTTGCACAGAGACAAGCATCCAGTCCATGAATTGGACCAGGGTGCATCACAGCATTGCTTACTTGCCTTCTTAGCACTCACTCTCTTCGTACCTACCTGGATGCTCCCAGCATCTCTGTAAATATTTTGCATTGGTCTTCACAGTGGAGGACACTATAGATATCCCACAGATATCAGATAAGCAAAGTACTAATGGAAGGAAATGTCTTCAAAAGCCTTGATCATGAGACATAAAGTATTTGACAAACTAATGGGAATAAATGCAGACAAGTCGTCAGGACATGATAATTTGCATCGAAAGGTTGTAACGGATATGGCTGCAGAGATAGTAGAGGCATTGGTCACAATATTCCAGAATCTACAGGGTTCCAGGAGGGTTCTACAAGATTGGAAAACAACTAATATGACGCTTCAGTTCAGTAAGGGATGGAGATAGAAAGCAGGAAACTATGAGACAGTTGGCTCTACAACTGGAAATGCTGGAGTCCATTTTAAAAGAAGAATAGCAAGACATTTAGAAAACCTTAATGCAATCGAAGAGTCATGTGGTTTTGTGAAGGGCAAAACATGTTTGATACATTTAGTAGAGTTCTTCGAGGATATAACTAGCACAGATGATAAAGGGAAACTGGTAGATCTAGTATACTTGGATTTCCAGAAGGCATTCAGTAAGTTGCCACATTAAAGGTATTCCATAAGATAAGAGCTCATGGTATGGTGGGGTGGGGTAATATATTAGCATGGATTGAAATTGGTTGACAAACAGAAAGCAAAGAGTTGAGACTAATGTTTTTTCAGGTTGGAAATACATAACTTGTGGAGTCCCAAAGGGGATCCCTTAGGCCGAGGCCTTTAATTATTCAATATCTACGTTAATGACTTAGAGGAGGGGAAGAGAGTGTAAAGTATTCAAATTTGCTGTTAAAATAAGTGGAAAAGCCAATTGTGACAAAGACGTAAGGAATCTGCAAGACAACATAGATAAATTGAGTGAATGGGCAAAACAACTTGGTAGATGGAGTTTAATGCAGGAAA